AAAAATCTGGTATTCTGCCTATTCATCTTCCCCTCCTTTCCTAAAGTGCAATTTTCAAATACATGGTCTTTTTACATACCCCTGATTTAGTTCAACATAATTAAACAAAATCACATATTAATCATTATTACTCCTCATTCCCATAGACCCTGTGGACATCTCCAGAAGGTATTTGCAGAGAGAGGAGAATGGTTTGTGCTACATCCTCTAAGTGTGGATAGAAGCCCTGCCTCAGAACTGTGCCTTAAAGCACGGAGATAATTGATATAGAGGCCAGGTAGTTTCACAGTCATCTTGTTTAGAAATGTAAGAATGCAAGTGCAAAGGACTTTAAATTTCAAGCCTATAGATAGCACGTTAAAAAGCAAAGACATCACTTTGCCAACAAAGATCTGTATAATCAAAGCTATGGTTTTTCCAGTAGTCATGGATGGATAAAAGAACAGGACCATAGAGAAGGCTGAGCACTGAAGAACTGATGCCTTCAAATTGTGGTGAAGATGCTTGAGAGTCCCTTGGATAGCAAGGAGATCAAACCAGTCAATCCTAAAGGAAATCAACCCTGAATGTTCATTGGAAGGACTAATACTGAAGCTCCAACACTTTGGCCACCTGTTGCAAAAACCAACTCATTGGAAAAGACCCTGATTCTGGAAAAGACTGAAGACAAAAGGAGAAGAGGGTGGCAGAGGATGAGATGGTTAGATAGCATCTCCAACTCAGTAGACATGAATCTGAGAAACTCTGGGAGATAGTGAAGGACAGGGAAGCCTGGCATGCTGTAGTCCATGGGGTCACAAAGAGTCAGGTATGACTTGGCAACTGAACAACAACAAACAGTTGAAAATGTCAACACAAAGATTTAAAAACAACACAGTTTGCACAGCTCCTAGGGATTTCACCTGCAGACATTTTGATACAACAATGTTGTAGGTGTTGGGTTGTTTTTTTGGTTTGGGTTTTTTTTTTTTTTTTTTTTGTAAAATAAGGAAAATGATTCCAAAGAATTGTGCTTTATCAGAGATTTTAAATACAAATTAATCTGCTTTTTTTTAAGGTAGGTGACTTCTATAACTTGTATTTACAATTATTAGTAAATAAACAAGGCAGCTGGAGAGATTATATTAACTCTCTCTTTTTATCCATTCAAGTAGTATTCCTCAGTTCCTGTGAACTATGAAATGTTGATCCTTTGAACTTTAGTTTTATCTATCAACAAAGAAAGTTTGGGGATCCAAAGGAAAGTTCATTCCTTCTGTACCTGGAATGAGAAAGGTGTTGATAAAGGAGACAGTACTTTGATTTAGGACTAAAACTTAACATTTGTCTTGGGCTGACTGGGAACTAGGCTCAGTGCTAAATATTCAATACATTTTATCTTAATAAGTATTATTTTCTTAATCTCACAGATGAGAAACTGAAAATCAGAGATGTGACATAACTTACCAGAAGTCACACAAGTTATGTTTGGGGCTAGGTCTCAAAACCAGGTCTCTTGGATATATAGCTCACATCCTTAACCATTGCCTGAAATTATGTGTATATTTTGCACAACTATGGAAAAGACTTTCCTTTTTCATTTTCTATGCCATCATTTATCAAACTTTTTTTTCTTTTTTTTTCATTTATTTTTATTAGTTGGAGGCTAATTACTTTACAATATTGTAGTGGTTTTTGCCATACATTGACATGAATCAGCCATGGATTTACATGTATTCCCCATCCCGATCCCCCCTCCCACCTCCCTCCCCACCCCATCCCTCTGGGTCTTCCCAGTGCACCAGCCCTGAGCACTTGTCTCATGCATCCAACCTGGGCTAGTGATCTGTTTCACCCTTGATAATATACATGTTTCGATGCTGTTCTCTTGAAACATCCCACCCTCGCCTTCTCCCACAGAGTCCACAAGTCTGTTTTGTACATCTGTGTCTCTTTTTCTGTTTTGCATATAGGGTTATCACTACCATCTTTCTAAATTCCATGTATATGTGTTAGTATACTGTATTGGTCTTTATCTCTCTGGCTTACTTCACTCTGTATAATGGGCTCCAGTTTCATCCATCTCATTAGAATTGATTCAAATGAATTCTTTTTAATGGCTGAGTAATATTCCATGGTGTATATGTACCACTGCTTCCTTATCCATTCATCTGCTGATGGACATCTAGGTTGCTTCCATGTCCTGGCTATTATAAACAGTGCTGCAATGAACATTGGGGTGCACGTGTCTCTTTTAGATCTAGAATATACATTTTCTTGTCCAGCTTTCAGAAATTATGATTTAATAAGTTCAGAGTGACTCAAGTTTCTGTCTTATTATCCAGCACCCTGCAGGTGGTCTGAAGTTTAATCACTGTCTTTTTCTCTAAGAACAAGCACTTCTTTCAGCTTCTCTCATAGAAATAACTTCCTTTGTGGATTCATTTCCATTACTCTTAAGCAGATTTGGTTTGACAGCCCTCTATGATTATCTCTTTTACATACTCTATATTTTCAATTATCATTTTATATCATAATTTTCTGTTTAAATGTCTGCTTTCTCCACCTAACTATGAGATATTTGAAGACAACACAGTCTAAAGAAAGTGAGTGGCTTAGATTCTCACTGCAACCCAAAGAATGTAGTAATGTAGAGCTAAAAAACAAGTAAAATAGAAGAAAACCTCCATGGTCCATGGAATAAACATGTCTAATGCTGTAGAATTGGATTAAGTGTAAAAAGAAGGTTTCAGAAGAGTAGGTATATTGAGATATCATCTCTATGAGTTAATTTATCCCAATAAAATGAAAACACTATTTGAAAAGATATGTATATTCCAGTGTTCGTAGTAGCATTGTTTACATTAACTGAGAAATGAAAGCAACTTAAGTGTCCATCAACAGATGAATGGATAAAGAAGATCTGGTATATAGGCAATGGAATATTACTTCACTGTAGAAAAGAATGAAATTTTACCATTTGTGACAGCATGGATAGAACTGGGGGATATTATGCTTAGTGAAATAAGTCAGACAGAGAAAAACAAATACTGTATGTTTTCACTTATATGTGGAATCTAAAGAATAAAACGAATGAACAAATATAGCAAGACAGAAGGGACTCACAGGTACAGAGAACAGACTAGTGGTTGCCAGAGGGCAGAAGGGTTGGAGGAGGAGCAAATAGGTAAAGGGCACTAAGAGGTACAAATTGATAGGTATAAAATATGTATAAAATGTACAGCACAGGAAATATAGCCAATATTTTATAATAGTTTTAAATGGAGTAAGTTTTATAATGATAATAAATTGCTACAGTGGTAAACAGTCCGTCCGCCAATGCAGGAGATGCAAGAGACATTGACTTGATCCCTGGGTCAGGAAGATCCCCTGGAGGAGGAAATGGCAACCACTCCAGTATTCTTGCCTGGAAAATTCCATGGACAGAGGAGCCTAGTGGCTACAGTCCATGGGGTGGCAAAGAGTCAGACACAACTGATCAACTGAGCATGCACAATGTCAGAAGCTAATATCACATTGTAAGTCAATTATACTTCAATTTAAAAAAGAAAATAAAAAGAGGTAAAAAACTAAATCATACCAAAGAATAATTGGTGATTGAACTGGTTACTAATTTTGCAGCCAAAATGACCCCAATTTGGGACACTATTTTTATTCCATAAAGCAGTATAGAGTAAATGCCATGAAAAATACAGTTCAATTATCTTCATTGATGTCAGAATGTGTCTCAGTGCTATGATGAGAGAAATGGGATACTTTAGAAATAACTTTGGGATTGATGAACCTCTTGTCCCTGGAAAGGTACAAATCAAAGCTGAAGGATGGCCACTTAGGTGTTCTGAAAGGGACTCGATGCTTAGGTTGGAAGATGGACTAGGTATTTTTATATGTATTGTTTTTTATTAACATTTTAAAAGAGAATCAACATCCTGTTATTTAGCAGTAGCCAGTTTATTTATTATGGGTATGAAATTAAGGAGAGATGTGAAGGAAGGAGTACACGCTCTGGAGGCATGCAGACCTGGGTCTGAGCTCTAGATCTCTACCTATTATCAGTTAATCAATGAGCAGTTTACTTAACTTCTCTGGTGATTTATTTTCACATCTATACAATGATGATCATAACACCTACCTTTCAGGATTATTAGTAAAACATGAAAAATGTATGTGAATTTATACACAATGGCTGACACATAGAAATAAGAATTTAGGGCATGTTAGCTAGCATAATTACATGATGAAGAAAGGATTTGGGCATAGGTAGGGAATTAATGTACTTTAAAAATCTTTCTGAAGGCTAAACATCAATGATGATAATATATGGATGGCTCCATGGCGTTAAAGAGTAAAAACACCCTCACACTCCATTACAACAACATCTTCCAAGTTAGACTAGCTTTACATTTCAACTTCCCCATGGAGTTTAGTGAGATTTTCAGCTGCACTCCCCTCCCCAGTCGCATTTTATTTTTTATTTTGTTGTTGTCTTTTTAAAAGAGAAAAGTCTGGTTGTGATGATTATCTGTTATTACTTCCAAATAAGAACATGCTTTCATTTACTGAAATTAGGTCCCCATTCACTATGTTGGCACACTCTGGGCTGTCTCCTCCAGAGGACTGGAGGCCTGTTAGATGGTACTCAGTTGGAAACTGGCAGCACTGAGTCTCTGCCAAGGCTGGCAGACCTTTAACATGGCATCTGGTGACCTTTTTGCTGAGCCCCCTGGGTCCTCCATTTGCGATTTGATGTTCTCAGCAGGGGTGTAATCCAAATCAAATGTGAGATCTGGTGAGATGGAGTCGCAGGGGAGGTGGGGCCGGTGTAGGATCTGCACATTGCTTTGGGCAGAGGATGCTACTAGATGCCCTTCCATGTTTCTTTCTAATCCTGAGAGTCTGAGCTCTAATAGAGGGTCGCACTAAACTCTAATCCTGAGACTCTGAGCTCTAATAAAAGACTGGTTTGCAGGAAGAGCCCAACGTGAAAGGGAACAATTGGACAATTTTCTCCTCGTTTATTTATCATTCAGCCATAACTGTCATTCTCCCTAATTGCTGTAGTTCCCAGATGACACTAAACTCTTCACAGCGCCCCTGAGAGCAGCAGCTGAGGTTAGAAGTACATATGAGGAAGCTAGCTGTGTCTTGTTTCCAAGATAGTATTGATGGCTTTTTTTTTTCCTTTTTCTGAAATGGCAAATTTCTATTTTCAATAGTGCAGGTAGATAGCACACAAGCCTAGAAGAAAGAACCGTGGATTTGTGAACAACATAACAACCAACGCGTGTTGACAAATTGTGCTAACAGCAGACACATGCCATTTCTCAGCTGGGGAGTCTTTTTCATGATAAATTTAAAGTGTTATACATGTTGTTGTTTTTTTTTTAAGCAGCTTTTGCTTTAAACAGATTTAACAGATTATTTTTAATTTTACATACACTATGGCTGGTTTAACAGACAGGCAGTTACATTTCATATTTCTCAGGCAATTTTATCCTAAGACTGCCCACAAAAGGATTTTAAAGGTCATAAAAGCAAAAATGATTCAACCCTCCTTGCATTCATCCAGAAGAGTTAACTGTTTGCCCCATTACCATTTTTACTTTTAAATCCTGCACTTCCTGCTTGGTGCCTCCTCTAATTTCTGTTTCTCATATATTCCCTAACTTCCACAGACTTTTTTTCTGACTTTACTGGCACCTGGAACAATCAAGGTGCAACCAGGAAGATTTAGATTTAAATCTTGGCTGTACCTTTGCAAAGCCAGGTAGAATTAGACAATTATATAAACCCTCTGAACCTAAATTTTTCATCCTAAAATGAGAATAATATGAGCACCCACCTATAGGGCTGATCTGAAGATTAAATAAATGAATGTTTGTAAATGGCTATAATGTGGCTGCCATATACTTACTCAGTAATACTATTATTTTCGAAACCCCTGCAAAGTATAATTACTTATTTTTCTTAAGAACTTCAAATAGCACTGATTCTTTGTAACATTCTATTAACATTTATTTATATACCAATTAGGTATATTTCTTGTGGTCTTCCCTTGTGGCTCAGCAGGTAAAGAATCCGCCTGTAATGCAGCAGACCTGGATTCGATCCCTGGGTTGGGAAGATCCCCTAAAGAAGAGGAAGGCTACCCACTCCAGGATTCTAACCTAGAGAATTCCATGGGGTCGCAAAGAGTCGGGCACAACTGAGCGACTTTCACTTCACTTCACTTAGGTATATTTCATATTATTTATGTAAATCTTATGCCAATTTCCTTGAACACTTTGTAGAAATATACCTATATAATACATAAAGTACACATCATAAGTATACCACCCACTCACTGAATTTTCACAAACATGATATACCCTTGCAACAGACATCCAGATCAAGAAACAAATTGGGGGAGGGGGGTTCAGGATGGGGAGCACATGTAAATGCATGGCTGATTCATATCACTGGATGTCAAAAACCACTACAATATTGTTAAGTAATTAGCCTCCAACTAATAAAAATAAATGAAAAAAAAAAAGAAATAAATTGGTACCACATTCCTAGAAACACCCCTGATGTTCCCTTCTGGACTTTATACCTCCCCGCAAAGGTAACCATTATCCTGACTTCTAGAAACACGTTTATATCAGTTGTTAACTTTATTATTCCTGTATTTTTGGATAGCCAAATGAAATTAAATTTCTTAAGATCAGGGACTGTATATTATATGTCTTCTCTCACTGAAGAACTATATATTAAATGTATACTCCCCCAACATCCCCATTTTACTCTATTGTCATCCAACTACACCTATCTGACAAATCTCCAGCCCTGGAGGGAGAAGCTCACTGTCTGCCTTCCTTGCATCTCCACAAGGACTGCAGAGCGTGCATCCTCTCCAACTGGTGCACAAAATCCGTGGTCTCCAGCCTTCAAGTCACCACTCGGCTGTGTCTAGCTGACCTTCCTTCTTTGTCTGATCAGCTATCTTTACAGCAGCTATTTCAAGCCATATGCCCTTAAATTCAGACCTCCTACCCCACCATTTCCTTTCTTGAGACCCAACCAGTAGTCATACCTTGTATGTCAAAGAGAAAATTTAAGCTGTCAGCAATTTGGTCAGTCTCCTGTCACCGAATGTTAAAATTTGCTTACATCCTCACCCACCTTCCTGCTACCTGATCCTGAGGTTTCATTTCTATCTCGGTCTTCTCAGTGACATTCCATCTCATTTTGTCGGGGTTCATCTTACGTTATCAGTGATATCCTCTCCTTTTTTTTGGTCAGTTGGCTCTTTGTTTAAATGTGTTTAAGTCCCTACTGTCTTTAGTTTCTTTTATTTAATTTTTTATTGAAGTATAGTTGGTTTATAATGTTGTGTCAATCTCTGCTGTATAGAGAAATGACTCAGCTATATAATATAGACATATTTTTAATGTCTTTTCCATTCTTTTCTGTTCTTTTCCATAATGGGTTATCACAGGATGTTAAATACATTTCTCTGTGCTATACTGTAGGATCTTGTTGCTTATTCTTTCTATATATAATAGTTTACATCTGCTAATCCCAAACTCCCAGTCCTTCCCTCCTTTACCCCCCTCCCCACTAGTAGTCATAAGCCTGACCTCTATGTCTATTTCTGTTTTGTAGATAAGCTCATTTGTGCCATATTTTAGATTCCACATATAAGTGATATCATATGGTATTTGTTTTTCTCTGCCTGACTTACTTCACTTATGATAATTTCTACTTGCATCCATGTGTTGCAAATGGCATTATTTTACTCTTTCTTAAGTCTGAGTAGTATTCCATAGTATATGTATATATACCACATCTTTATCCATTCCTCTGTCAATGGACATCTAGTTTGTTTCCATGTTTTGGCTATTATGAATAGTGCTGCTATAAACGTAGGGGTGCATGTATATTTTTAAATTACAGTTCTCGCCAGGTACCTGCCTGTGAGTAGAATTGCTTGGTCATATGGTAACTCTACTTTTAGTTTTTTAAGAAGCCTCCACAATGTTTTCCATAGTGACTGTACCAGTTTGCCTTCCCACAAGCAGTGTAAGAGGTTTCCCTTTTCTACACACCCTCTCCAGCATTTGTTATTTGAGATTTTTTTAATGATGACCATTCTCATGGGTGTGAGGTGGTATCTCATTGTAGTTTGATTTGAATTTCTCTAATAAATAGCAATGTTGAGCATCTTTTCATGTGCCTATTGACTATTGTATGTCTTCTTTGGAGGAATGTCTATTAAGGTCCTCTACCCATTTTTTGATTGGCTTATTTATTTTTTGTTGTTGTTGTCGAGTTGTATGAGCTATTTGTATATTTTGGAGATAAACATGACAAGAACAAAGCCCTATCTGAAACCAACATTGTACTCCAGTCACCCCATTTCTCTCCTCTCCTGGAGCCAAAATTCTTCACAGAGGTCTTTATACTTCCTACCCTTAGTTTCTGATCCCTCCTCTTTTGTCAACCCACTTCAGTCTAACACCTACCTCCATTACCTCACGCAATTCCTCGTGTCAGGTTTCCTGATGATGTCCTTATGGCTTAATTCAATGAACCCTCTTTAGAACTCACCTTTCTCAACAGCATGTGAGATGCTGATTATGCCATCTCCCTGGAAACATCATCTTCACTTTGTTGCTAAGACCACAATCTTCTAGCTTGTCTTCTACCTTACTTAGAATTTCTTCTAAGGCTCCTTTTAGGGCTCTTCCCTCTGTAAATGTAGGTGTTCCTCTCAGCTCTTTCCTAAGCCTTCTTTGCTTCTCATGATGCCATGACTAAGAGAATTGATGTAAAAAATATACATATGTCAACCTTGGCCTTATTCAAACCAACAAGTATTGCAGCAATTGTTTTATGCTCAGATTACATGACATGCTTTAAAATGGGTCCTTTCCACTGCATCAATAACAACAGCTAAAATTTATACAACCTTCTAGGCATAATGCATAGCTATTTTAAATGTATTTTTCTTGATAATAAAATAATATTTCCTCATGTCAGAAATTTAGAATAATAGTTTTATTATACAGTATAATGTGGTATATAGTATAGTATATAATATAGTATAATGTGGGCTTCCCAAATAGCTCAGTGGTGAAGAATCCACCTGCCAATGCAGAAGATGCTGGTTTGATCCCTGGGTCAAGAAAATCCCCTGGAGAAGGGAATGGCTACCTATTCCAGTATTCTTGTCTGGAGAACTCCATGGACAGAGGAGCCTGGTGGGCTTTAGTCTGGGGTCACAAAGAATTGAAGATGACTGAATGACTAACAACAGTACACTACATGTAGTATAGTGTAATATCCTGACTTCCGTTAGGAGGTACTTACCATTTACTTCTGACATATTTCCTTCTACATATATTATGCACTCTCACACAAAGACACATGCATTTATACATGAATTTATATAGCTGAGATAATTATATTTTTCATTTATTTGCATAAAAAGACATTTTTTCATTAAAATTATTTGTAACTATTTTAATAGCACCATACATTATCTCATAGCAACATAGAATGAAACACTCAACACATCCATCTACTAATAAATAGAGTTTAAAATTTTTCTTTTTCCACATTTTTTACTTAATATAAATTTCTAAAAATTGATTTACTAGGTCAAAAATTTTAGCTTCCTGACTCTTTAATATGTTTAGTCTAGTCACCCACTATAAGAATTCTATTTATTTATGTGACCATGAGCATTTGTATTCTTTATTTCCAAAGAAGTTTTCTATATTTAAAACAATACCATGTAATTGTTTTGAAACAAAGTTTAATAATTAGTAGATTTTTGTTTTTATATAAATTTCTTTGAGTCATTCCTACAATTTTTCCCCCTCTATTTAATATTAAAATTAAATGGAGGACTACTGAGAGAAAAAGAAGTCTTATGGCAAGACAATTAAGGAGAGACACAGAGCAGAACTGGAGCTGGCAAAAATGCCTTGACTTTCTTCTTTTTCTAGTTGTAAACACTGAAAATACCTGTTAGACTTTTAAGGAAGAAAGATAAGTAATAACCTTTAGGGTTCATCTTTGAAGCTGCCGTTTCTTATAGTAAGGATAGAGCAGATGGAGAGATTATAAGGAAGGTAAAGCCTGAGAAAATAACATGGTTTCTCTATGGTAAATGATCCCTAGACAAATAACAAATAACTCATTCAGTCATGCTAAATTACCAATATTCCCACCACCAGACTAACACCTGCCTTTTCTTATGCCAGCTTAGTGCAGGTGGAGTGTGCCCTGAGTAACAAAGTACAAAACTTGTTTCTTTGCAGCAAGCAGAACCAGAACTTGAAGGCAGAAGCTCAAACAGTGCTCTGGAAATCAGTGCCTGGTGATGCAGAGCAGATCCGTGGAGACCCACCAGCTCCGACTGATCCCACAGATCCTCAAATCAGTCATGACCCAGATGATGGGAAAGACAGCAAGCACCGAGAAAACAACCAGAAACCAGAGGACAGTGGGAAACTCCTAACAGGACCACTCAGTTGTAGATTTCTGGATGGCAAAGTGAGTAACAACTTCCTAAACTTTTCTTGGTAATTGGCTAGGAAATTCAGTTGGGTTGGAAACATAGACTCACATCAACACATGCTTGTCCTAGTGGTAATTAATACATTTTGCATCAAATAGAATCAAAATCACTTTTTAAATCTGAAAATGAATTTTGAGGTCATTCTGTATATTGCCTCTTCACTGACCGCTAACTGAATTGGTCAACCTACTCTGTGACTAAATGATAGTTATATAGTGATGTGTCATCACTTGTGCACATTTGAGGTGTGTTAGAGGAGGAGGGTTTGTCTTTAACATTATAGGAAAAGATAATTTATTTTCAAAATCCAATGAAATCATGTCTAGATATCAAGAAATTATCAGCACTAAACTATCTTGATAGAAATGGTAATACATTATCACTGCCCTCTGTTAAGAATCAACCAAACAATCCACAACAGATTAGCTTGATAATGATGAATCTAAATGATTATTAATTTGTAATTAAAAAGTAAGAGTAGCAGCAATAGAAAACTGGACCCAAATTAAGACCAACTAATGATTCATTGATAACAAAGTACCATTTCCAAAAATTGCTGAAATTGCAGTTAAACAAATATATAGAGGAGGAATTTTGCAGCACTGCCAAGAATGAAGTGACAGTCAGATATTTTAGTAGAATACTGAATTAGAGCCTGCAGTAAACTCTAACATAACTATCTTTAGTTTATAATTTTAATAGCCCTTTCTAAATCACTCAGATGCTCACTAGTTTTCAGTCATGAGAATATAAAAGCCTGTGGATTTGTGATCTTTTATTCATTAGAACTCTGCAAAAATTACAATATGGAGTGGCTACCAATTCACCAATGGACCTCAGACCATGTTCTGCAAGGTCTCAAACACTGGGGACTTCCCATTTTTCTCCTAAAATTTTTATTGATCCTTCTAACTGTAACATATATACTCATGTGAAATTTTGGAAAATGGAAGGAGAATATAAAGAAGAAAAAATAAAACACAAAGAAAAATAGTAGTTTATTTCTTTTTCTTCTTTTTTTCATGCATAGATACCAAATATGAGTCATCACATATATGTGCTTTGTCATCCTGGTCTATTCACTTCATATCAAGAATTCTCCCCCAGCTTCAAAAAATTCATCCTAAGCATTATGTTTAATGTCCCTGTGAGAGTCATACTCAGAAGTAACACTTAGATAGAATTTGCTAGGTGCCAGGCACTATTCTAGTTTCCCTGGTGGCTCAGACAGTAAGGAGTCTGCCCTCAATGCAGAAGATCCAGGTTCAATTCCTGGGTCGGGAAGATCCCCTGGAGAAGGGAATGGCAACCCACTCCAGTATTCTTGCTTGGAGAATCCCATGGACAGAGGAGCCTGGTGGGCTACGGTCCATGGGGTCCTAAGAGTTGACCGAGTGACTAACACACACACAGAGGCACTATTCTAATCTCTTTACATATATTAACTAACTTTCTACTCCCAAGCACTCAGTGAGGTAGGAACTTTTGTTATCTTCAGATCATAGATGAAGGAACTGAAAACCAAAGAAGTCAAGTGCCTTGCCCAGGTCATAAGGCTGAGAAGTGGCAGAGCCACAGCTGCGGTCCAGATTCTAGGGCCTTAATCCCCAAACTATATTCATTCATTTATATGGATATAACATGTCCCATTTAATCCCTATTGATGGGCATTTAAGTCATTTCTAGTTTTTCTCTTATAAATGGGAATTTGTTTGACCCTCTCTCTACCTGTTTGGGATACAGTGTCTGCATTAGCCACTGTAACAAGCAGAGTGTTCACTGGGTAAGTTGTTCTTGGACCTCCACGGTCTGGATACTTTACCAGCTCTGCAGTGCCAGAGGGAGACAATTTTTCCCTCCCCTCCCAGGATTCAAGAGGTTTCTTATGGGAGGCTCAGCAGGGCTAACACCCACCCAGCAAACACAGCAAGACCTCGTGGGAAGCGCGGGCCCTGACTAATTGGTTCTGTCTGCCGAGCGTAGGATCCTGGCTGGCCAGATGGCAGCCGTGGCTGCCTGGTACAGAGACACTCATTACCACCTTGACTAAGTGGTAAGTGGAATCCTGCCACAGTGAAAGAAGTAAACCAATCAGAGCTCCTTCTAGATTCTTATGCTTCACATATAGATGAAAATAAGCTTTCCTGTCTGGGATGTAGCAGGCAATCTGGACCGGCTGAATTTGCTCTAAACAAAAGTAAACGTGGGTTAAGAACAGGCAAGTGTGAAACTCTGTTCTAAATTACAGGTAAACTCGAAGATAACATTAGGAGGAGGTAAGTAGAGCTGAAAATGTTAAGAGAAGCAATAGTTTCATGAATGCAAGAACAGTAAGATATCTTAGAAATCAGCAAATACAAACTCTCATTTCACCAATGAATAATAAGAGGCCCAGAGAGCTTAAATGATGTTTCAAGATCTCACAGACAGAGCCTGGCTCTTCTCACTGCCAGCCCTAGGATCTTTTGTCTCTTAAATTCTCTCCTTATACATTTTTAAAAATACATATATGCTGTTTACACTGTTTCTCAGAAGTATCAGCTCTGCTTTCTCTCAGAAAATAAAAAAGAATCTGTGACTAGCAGCAAACTCAGTAGCACAGTTTCAAAAATAAAATTAAAGTGTGCTTTTTGCATCTGGCAGCATGAGAATGAAAGTGTTAGTGCTTTAATTTTAATAATTATCACAGTTGATTGGTAGTATGTTCTTTTCAAAGCCATTTTGCTTGTTTTATCTTGCTTTTCCTCCACACCTGCCTATTTTAGGACTCGGCCACTCCTGCTCACTCAGCCTACTCTAGAGAGCTTTTTTTATTTTTCTTTAAAATGTTTAATGACTATAAACCCTTCAGGTTCCTATTTATACTGATAGGTTATTCAATATAAACTATTAAATGAGTATGGACACTCAGTTTTCAGTGACTCCCTCTCATAATGTCTCCTTTCAATGACCTGATATTAAATATGGCCATGTGGTTCAAATGGTACCCTGGATTTCCTTTTAATCAGGTGTGGTGAGGTGACAGATAAAGAGACAACTGACTTTGAAAAAATTTATTACTTACATTTCCCAGGGAAAGGGGGTATGCCACACTGTTCAAGGCCACATGTGGAAGCACCAATGTTAATCAGGAGGCAGAAGAGTAAGGGAAAAGCACAAGCCACAGCCTTTATTGGGGTTTCCATGGGAAAGGTAATGAGGGCAGGGTAAACAGATTAGGACTGGCTGGTTTGAACAACTCCAGTGAGTGGGCTTTGGGTAGAGGGGCTATCCCCAGTCTGATATGTGGACCTAAGTTCATTTGGGACAGGGAAGATACTGAGTTGGTATGTGAGTTAGATAAGGGAGGTGGTTAGAGATATGGATTTAGGGTTGATTGGTTTGCATATGAAAGATGTGTTTGCAGGCTTACTTTTTCTTTGTCACAGACACCTTTTATCGTACACAAATGCAAACACGTCTAACTGCGCATTTATTTATCAAACTTGTGTTAACTGCATTATGCTGAAATTAATGTTGAGGTAAGCTTTCTTCTTTGGGGATTAAATGACTCAATGACCACGGGGGTTGAAGTCTTTTGGAATGGGAACATGTTTTAAGAATTAGCTGGTTCACTCATATTTTCCTTTTTTTTTTTCTCTTTCTCTTCCCCCATCCCTTCTGATCCCTTACTACCATTTATCTTTGCTTCTTTAAGGTTTCCAACCAAGCAAATGTCTATTGCATCTCTCAACCAACCGGAGACCAGTCCCTGTCCTATATCCATGGCCTCCCCAGGAGAAACTTTAGAGACTGGTCCTTAGAACAGATGGTAAGGAGCAGCTCTGACCAACCCAAGGTGTGTATCATAGGAGCTGTTGAGCTTGTTTCTATTGCAGATAGGGATATTATTTGTCAACTGTATATTTTGATGTGGAACAGATAATAAGATGGTCTAAGATAGATTGGTGGATACCACACCCAATATGTCTCATCAGCTTTCCAGGAAACTTCCCGGGGAGCCCAAAGGCAAACCTCAAATGTCCCACCTGACCATCGCATCTTCCTTCCCTCTTCCTCCTCCCAGATCCCAGTCTTTAAGATTTATCATTCTAAATTCTAATATAATAAAAAAAATGTACTTTGTAAAAGACAAATGATATACCTTAAGGAGGCTTCTATCAGAGTATGTACTCTGAAATGATATGCTTCTTTTCTTTGCCTAAAGGAAAAGATCTTGAGATATTATAAACTAATGAATACATCCAGATTGAATACTTATTTTCAAGTATAAGTTCCTATTCAGGACAAGGCCTGAATGTGGAGGCTCTGATACCAACTCAAGTATTCTTCTGCTTCTTTGCACTGGTCTTCCCTGTTAATTTCTTGTTGTTGTTGTTGTCATTGTTTGTTGTTGTTTCAGGATATTGGCCAGAGACCAAGTGGAATAACAAAAGAAGACACTTTTCTTCTTGCCCTGGTCAGGAGAGAACTCAAGTCTCTTCCTTTGAGTTCTGGCTTATTAGACAAACTTCAGAAAGAGCTGAAGATACTGGATCCTGTCTCGTCAGGATTTATTCTTCAGTCTCAGCTGAGCCACCTCTTCTTAAGGCTTGAAGTCCCTCTGCAGTTGCCAACAGTCAAGATCCTTTGCCAGAGATTTTCTAGGGGGAGCTCTCCTGAAATGGTAGGACCATCTTGCTATTTTAAGTATGAGTTCCCTTTTGTTTATTTGACTTGTACCCACCAGAGTAATAGAATCAAAAGATAAGTTTCTTTCTTGAAAATAACCTTTACCATTGACCCCTAAGATACAAAGCCTGTTTATAGTCATATGTGGAAATCTCTAGTCAGATAAGACCCAAATAGAAGATAGATTTAGGTCTTTGTTGTTGTTGCTCAGTTGCCCAGTCATGTCCAACTCTTTATGACCCCATGGACTGTAGCACGCCAGGTCTCCCTGTCCCCCACTATCTCCCGGAGTTGGCCCAAGTTCATGCTCTTTGCATCAGTAATGCCATCCAGCCATCTCATCCTCTGATGCCCTCTTCTCTTTCTGCCCTCAATCTTGCCCAGTATCAGGGATTTTCCAGTGAGTCATCTGTGCACATCAGATGACCAAGATATTGGAGCTTTAGCTTCAACATCAGTCCTTCCAGTGAAAATTCAGGGTTGAACTCCCTTAAGACTGACTTGTTTGATCTCCTTGCTGTCCAAGGGACTTTCAGGAGTCTTCAACACCACAGTTCAAAGGCATCAATTCTTTGGCATTCTGCCTTCTTTATGGTCCAGCTGTCACAACCACACATGACCACTGGGAAGACCATAGCCTTGAGTATATGGACCTTTGTCGGCAAATAAGTGTCTCTGCTTTTCAACACACTGTCTAGGTTTGTCATTGCTTTCCTGCCAGAAGGCAATCATCTTCTGATTTCATGGCTTCAGTCACTGTCCACAGTGATTTGGGAGCCCAAGAAGAGGAAATCTGTCACGACTTCCACTTTTTCCCCTTCTATTTGCCATGCAGTAATGGGGCCGGATGCCATGATCTTAGTTGCTGGTTGTTTTTTTTTCCTAATATTTATTCTTAAGCCAGCTCTTTCACTCTCCTCCTTCACCCTCATCAAGAGGCTCTTTAGTTCCTCTTCGCTTTCTGCCTTAAGAGTGCTATCATCTGCAAATCTGAGATTGTTGATGTTTCTCCTGCCTATCTTGATTCCATCTTGTAACTCATCCAGTCCGGTATTTCTCATGATGTGCTCAGCATATAGGTTAAACAAACAGGGTGACAGCAGACAGCCCTGTCATACTCCTTTCTTGATCTTGAACCAGTCAGTTGTTCCATACAGAGTTCTAACTTCTTGACCCACATACAGGTTTCTCAGGAGACAGGTAAGATGGCCTGGTATTCCCATCTCTCAAGGAGCTTTCCACAGTTTGTCATGATCCAGAGAGTCAAAGGCTTTAGCATAGTCAATGAAACATAGAAATATGGTTTTTCTGAAATTCCCTTGCTTTCTTTATAATCCAGTGCATTTTGGCAATTTGATCTCTAGTTCCTCTTCCTTTTCTAAACCCAGCTTGGACATCTGGAAGTTCTTGATTCACATAATGCTGAAGCCTAGCATGCAAGACCATGCCACCATGCACCACCATGGGGTTTAGCCCTGCTTAATTTCTCTTTAAAAGGTTTCCTGTCCCAACTTTCTTTGTCTGCTCTTAACACCATTGGAATAGTTATAGACTCAAGATAACAAGTATGTTTACAAGGGGATCAGTCTATAGGCTTTGAGGTTAGAATGGAGGACTTGATAAAGATGTATCATGACAGTTCCTAGACATTTAGAGATGGGAGGCATCTTTGAAGTATAGCTCATCACCATCATTTTACTAATTAGGAAACTGAAGCCCAGAGGATCAAGAAACTTGCTCAGGAAACCGAGAGAATTAATGGCAGGCCCAGGACAGAGATAAAGGTTCCCCAAAGATAAGGCCAGGGTTCTTTTTCTGAGCATTGTACTTGCCAAGCTCATACTGTAACGGAACACATAGCATTGTCCAAGTGTAACAGAATTCTGGGAGTGAGAAAACAATATCCTAAAATAGGAAGAAACAATAGCAATGGAAAAATCATAAATGAGCATGTGTTGATGAAAAATCAGGCCAAAACTAACCTCATAGGGCTAATGTGAAGATTTAGTAATATAATACATGCAAATTACCTGGCCTCATGTTTAACATTTAGTAGGTTCTATCTCCTGCCCACTCCTAACCTGCAAAAATAGAATTGCTTGTATATTTATGAGAAGTATTTAGCAATACAATGTCAACCTATTAGTGTAACCTTTATGAATCTTCAGTTCAAGTCAATTTTCCAGCCTGAGTCCCAGTTTCTATCAGGACCTTATCTGACTTCCTTTCCCCACTGCTACCCACCTCCACAACCCTGGAGTTGTCTGCCCATCAGAGTCCCTAGAATAATCATCCAGTCAAGCAATGGAAATGGATGACATTCTTTTAGCCTTTTCCTATGTAAAAAAAAAAAAAAAGAAAAGAAATAGGTAAATAAAGCCTTGCGCCCAAGTAATCTGACTTTATCTTCTGAATATATCTAAATATAAGTATATAATACGAACAAAGCTAGTGGAGGTAATAGAATTCCAGTTGAGCTATTTCAAATCCTAAAAGATGATGCTGTGAAAGCACTGCACTCAATCTGTCAGCAAATTTGGAAAACTCAGCAGTGGCCACAGGACTGGAAAAGGTCAGTTTTCATTCCAATCCCAAAGAAGGGCAATGCCAAAGAATG